ATTGAAAGTCTGCCAAGCCTGATTTTTCTAGTATTCCTTCGAGTGTTAGAGTTGTCATAATGTGAGCCGCAACATTGGTTTCACGTACGTTCAACATGCTGGATACTTCCACTTCCAGCTCCTACTTCCATCATACATTGTTTCCTTTTCTTAATGCAATTCACCATTATAAAAAAAAAACATTGTTTTACAGACAAATTATGCCCACTTCAATTTGAATCAAGTCTGACTCCTATAACTTATTATGGGTGCCAAACTCGGCAGCCAGAGCTTCGGGAAACTCAAAGTCCTATCTATGATCCTCGGATATTCTTGGCTACCGTTGTTATAAGTCGATATTGCTGTCAATTTCCTCGTAATGGGATTTTAAGGGTAAGCGGAGTTATATCGGTCGGGAAACAACTCTCTACTATCGGCAAATCCCATTGTTCTGTATCGGGATTTACAAGCTCGTGGACAGCCGCAACTGGCAGCCATAGGGACGAAAAGAGTTTCACTATTTGGCACCCACATATCGCTCCATATCCAAACCTGTGATGACGTGATCCATGTCCAATCCGCCACTTCATCCCCCCTTGCAAAGGAAATCTTGTGCGCCCATTAAACGTAACTTCATCAAAGATAACTGGGACGATTTCTCACTGTGGTCTCCATAACTGACGTATTTTTGTGGTATTTTGACTTCAACAGGTATCCTATGAGGGAGGCTATGGATCGAATCAGAGGATGGCGATCTAAGTGCTTCAAATTGAAATAATTGAGTCAAATTCACATTAAAATACTACACTTATTAACTATGAGAGTAACTAAGATTCGATAGCCAATGGGAACTCTCAGAAGAATACTACTACCAAAAAGTTTTATATTGATCTCCACACACACATCCGACAAATTATTATGTGGCAACATATCCTACGGTCATGAGTGGGTCGTGGTGTGGGTAGGAGAAGAAAGCCCAATAACATGAACTATTTAATTGGTTTGAGTTATGAAAACACAAATCCCAACCCATTGATGAGACAGAGGCCCTAAGAAAGATGAGATAGAGGCCCAACGGTCACGGCGGTTGGGCTTGGCTTAACGGATGCCCTCTCGTCGGCTGAATGTGACCCGAAGTGAGCGTCTATGGGCATTTGTTCCATATAAATCTGGAGTCTTGATGTTTGGTACCCGTCTTGGTAGTTTTATTTCGTGTTTGTAAAACCGTTTCATATTTTATATTTTGATTGAAAATTTTTCTAAGAGTAATTTTAAGTTGATAAGTAATCTTAAGCGATATGAACGGTTGAAGAAGATTAGGGTTTGTTTGAGTAAAGGTCCAGCATTTCCCTCGACTATGAAGATTAGCTAGGGTTTGTTCCAAATAATATTCAAGTGTTAGCATGTGAAGACAGGGAGGGAACTTTTTTTTTTAATTTTATTTCAGGTCTTGATGTTCGTATCAGTCTTGCTTCTAGTTTTATTATTTGCTGTGCTCTTTCCGATTGGCTTGCTATTGCTATTATGCCAAGTTGAGCAAAGCTCCAGCTGCTCCCACGATCACGAGGATAATAGTTTTAATTAAACCAAATTCTAGTACAAGTTGGGCTTGCAAGTTGAAGTTGGTGGTTGGGTCACTCCACTTTATATTGATGCTCGTCACACAAGTTGACACCCATTTGTCGGCGAATCGTGTACGCTAATAATACACAATGGCGGCTCCTATTATATATGGGAGACTTTTATTGTACTACTATGATAAAACTAGCGGTATTACATATTTTGAATTAACTGGATTTTGTGGTAGAAAATCTACATTATAGTGAAGTTCAAATCCTATATTTTTAAAACTTTTATCATCATAGATGTTACTGCTAAAACGGTTTCAAAAAAACCGGGTTAATTCTGTCCAATTTAACCGGATCAAACCGTTTTCCCACCCCCTACCATATATGTGTCAGACTCGTATGCACCAGTTACTAGCTCCTAGTGAGATATATCTATCTAAACCATGGATTAAATCGAGGTTGAGGCATGATACTATACGGTACCCTAACTTCTAATGGATTAACCCTAGGCCTTGATTCTCTCGATCCAAACTCGAAGTTCAATTGAAGATAAAAACAATAATTGACCGTCCAAATTGATCGGAAACATAGATAGATATCACTAAAGTATCTAGAGTATTGTATACTCCACTGAGTATAGCAGTCTTATCCAGTATATTACATATTAATGAGAGTAAAGTTGGTTATGAGTGGTTGGAGTAAAATTATATAGGGTACGTGATCAATTCCACGTTACGTTGAATGCTTATCGTATCGGTGAGGTAGAGTCTTCGGTTGACAATTGACGTTAAGTGTTCTCCGATTGAATAAGTACTAGGTAGGAAGGATATACACTACCTAAGTCTTATCTACCGGGCCAGATTTACGAGATTTTTACAGAAATAGCACTGTTTAAAAAAAATTCAAAAATAGCACCCAACTTTGAAAAATTCTAAAAATAGCACCCTTTTTGCAAAACCGCCACCCGTACCAGCGGTTTAGGCGAAAACCGCAACTCGGGGGGCGCGTTTTTCGATGAAAACCGCACATTTTTTTTTTTTGAAAAATCCTAACTTAGGTGGAAACTTCAAACGAACGTATCTTTATGTTCGGGTATCCGATCATCGCGATATTTTTTTTGATTCCGCATAACTTTTTGAGATCTTGCAAGCCGAAGACTGCCAAAGGTGGTTTGGTCTCACCTTCGTACCAAAAAATGTCGTTTGCTACCCCGAACGAGTTTTTTTCCGATTTCGTCAAACATTGGACAACCGTAACTTTGTGCTCCAAATCCAAACGGCATGATTTTTTTTTTCGCATAACTTTCTAAGGACTACAATTTTTATTAGGAATGAATTTTCAAAACAGGAATTATTTTTGGATATACAGGATTTTGGGAATAGCTTATCTTCCCTTCTCAGCAATCCACGTACATTTTGAAATTATGTCTATGATAAAAGTTGTATTCCTTAAAAATGTATGCGAAATAAAAAAAAATTCATGCCGTTTGGATTTTGGAGCACAAAGTTATGGTTGTCCAAAGTTTGACGAAATCGGAAAAAAATTCGTTCGGGGTAGCAAACGACATTTTTTGGGACGAAGGCGAGACCAAACCATCTTTGGAAGTCTTCGGCTTGCAAGATCTCAAAAAGTTATGCGGAATCAAAAAAAAATCGCGATGATCGGATACCCGAACATAAAGATACGTTCGTTTGAAGTTTCCACCTAAGTTAGGATTTTTCAAATAAAAAAAAAAAGCAGAACGCACCCTGGGGGTGCGGTCTGCAACCAAACCGCACCCTGGGGGTGCGGTCTGCAAAACTGCCCCCTACCAGTGCGATTTTCATCGAAAAACGCACCCTCGGGTGGCGTTTCAATCGAAAAACGCACCTCCGGGTGGCGGTTTTACAAAAAAGATACTATTTTTGGAATTTTTTGGAGTTGGATGCTATTTTTGAATTTTTTTTTTTTAACAGTGCTATTTTCGGAAAAATCTCCAGATTTACCCAAATAAATGTGGGTGGATAGTGGATATTGGATATGGAGCCTCAACTCAACTGGGCTGTTTTTTAACTGGATATATAGATATCAGGACAACAAATCGATCCTTTTGGTGGACCCTGTAATTAATAGCTGGCCTTGTTTGGCGCAAGGAGGAATGACAATCCAGTAAGAATCGAGAACACCAACAACTAGGCTGGCAAGTTGTTCCATTCAGTTCCAGTTGCAGTATATAATAATAATATATGTACGTACGGAAATAGTGGAGATACATACACCTTCAAATTCCTCGGGTCCTTCTTCATGGACGATATATTAACAGTAGTATCTACCTATCTATCCCCCACATATCGGCATCTAATCTTCCTCCCGTTCCTCGTCTTCGTCATCCATTGCGTAGGTCTTATTCATATTATATAACTTGTGTATTCCGGCAAGGTTGTCAACCCGCGGGTCGACCCACTTTGACCCTGACCCGATGAGAAAAATGGGCCGCACGCACCCATCGGGCCGACCGCTACAAGGTATCGAGTTGGAGGTCAAATTGTGTCATTTTTTTCATTGGTTTGCGAAATGCGCATATTTTCCGATTTTTCTTTTCGCCTAGCTCAAATTTTTGAATGCTAAGTTGAACATTTGAATATTTATGTTATATAAGTGTGTGTGAATTTTCACTATATGTTGGATCTATATACGATATGTTATTTTGGTGTAATATTATATGTTATAACTCATATGTTAGATAAGATTTTATATAATTTATGAGGATAAGTACAATATAATGACTTTTCCATATTTTCGGGTCAAACCGAGCTAAAACGGTTGACCCATTAACCCTTGACCCTCTAGCTCGACCGGGTCCGAGTCAACCCGCGGGTTGACAACCTTGGTATTCCATTTCAGCAATGTAACTCCAAAGCATGGGAGTCAAGGCTAGGGTTAGCGTTTGTACGATGATAATAATTTATGTGTTAGTATAGTATACCTTGTCTATATATAATAAAGAAATTATACGTACCAACACATAATCAAAACAAATACATGTTAAAGAAATTATAATCAAACACAAATACAACTAATCGACACGGCATCACAAACTTAACAAAGCAAATTATTCAAAGTAGAGCGTAGAACAAAAAGGATAAAATTAGCTCAAGTGGAATCCGAGGTTACATTTCTTTTCTTAATCAAATCACCATTTGCATTTAACAATGCAGCTTCACAGTAGTTAGGAAAAGGGTAAGAGGGTAAAAGGGGAGGGACAGCACTGTAACTTCATCAACTTTTGTCGTCTTCTCTTCATCCCATTATTTACCCCACCAGGCAATACCTTATTTACCTCCCTCCTTCAAAACAAACCAAAACGATTCATCATCTCTCTCTCTCTCTCTCTCTCTCTCTCTCTCTCTCTCTATCTATCTATCAAACTCCAACAAAGGCAACTTCAATTCCTCGCCGGCAACAAGAACCACCATGTGTGGCGGTGCTATCATCTCCGACCTCGTACCTCCCACCGCTCGCGGTGGCCGTTCCTCCTTCAGGAAGCTCGCCGCCGATTTCTCCTGGTCCGGGCTCAAGCCCAACTCAGTCAAAAGCAACAAGCCTTATGCCAAGCCCGCCGTCATAGATCTCGACGATGATTTCGAGGTCGATTTCCGCGAATTCGTGGACGAGGACGACTATGATGTGGACGTTGACGTCTTGGCCGATGTCAAGCCCTTCGCTTTCTCTGCCCCTCCTCCTCCTCCTCCGGCTCGTAGCTCCGCTGCTTCCCGCGGTAACTATATTCTGATGCCCTTTTTCTTCCGGAATCTCGGGATTGTGTCATTATGGGCGTTTTTTCTTTTTTTTTTGGCATCCATTCGAGTTAAATCAAGCCGGAAAATGTTTAGACTACTGCGTTTATGAGTTGGTCAATTGGCGTTCTGTGCAGGGACAAGGGGTGATAGCACCATACTAATATATTCAATAAAGATATTATGGTAATTAACTATTTGTTCATAAGCTCTATATACTAGTTTTTTCTTTTCTTTTCCTTTCTCTCGTCTGTTTTAAGAAATTTATGGGGACCAATTCGAGTTAATTCAAGTTTGGTTCAGCTGAAAAATGTTTAGACTCTGTTTATGAGTTGGCTAATTAGAGTTTTGTGCAGGGAACCATATGGGTGTTAGCACTATACTAATATATTCATTAAGGATATTATGGTAACTATGTGCTTATAGACCATAGTAGTTCTTTTTCCCCCTTTCTCTTGTCTGCTTTAAGAAATCTATGATATGCTTTATAAAATTTCTGATATAGTTTTTTTTTTTTAACTTGTGGTATGGTTTAATAATTTGGAATTTGGTCAGTTTAATTAACTCGCTAAGGATGAACTTGTAGTCTGGTTTGTGAGGTTTTTTATATGTGTTAAGAAATTTTTGGTGTGCATTAAAAAATTTGTGATAAACTTTATGAGGTTTCCGGTATGCTTCAAGTAACTCGTGGCATGTTTTAATAAACTTGTGGTGTGTTTTAAAAAATTTGTGTGACGTACTTTATGCGGCGGTTCCGGTATGCTTCAAGGAACTTGTGGCCTATTTTAATAAGTTTTGTTATATGTTTTAATTAATTTGTTGTATGTTTCATAAGGTTATATTGCTCTACTTTAAGAAACTTGTAGTCCGATTCAATAAAATTGTGGCGTGCGTTATGAGGTTTCTACTTTCAAGTCTATTTCTGGGAATTGTGATGTGATTTTTAAGAAACTTTTTATATGTTTCATGAAGTATCTGAGATATATTTCAGAATACTTGATGTTCTATACGCAAATTACAGTTTGATGCCTAAACTTAATAGATTTCAGGATGCTTAGTATGTAATTTTGTTTTGTATATACATCCTAAAAAAATATAAATGAACAATTACATTTCAGTACCTAAAACGTTACGTTTATGCTTTGCATTTTAAAGGATATAGAGCTGTGGAATTCAGCGGTGAAGCTGAAAGATCCGCGAAGATAAAGAGGAAAAGCCCGTACAGGGGAACCAGGCAGCGTCCGTGGGGCAGATGGGCCGCAGAGATCCGCGATCCGAGGAAAGGAGTCCGCGTCTGGCTTGGAACATTCGGCACTGCCGAAGAGGCTGCCAGAGCTTATGATGCCGAGGCTCTCAAAATCCGCGGCAGGAAAGCTAAGGTCAACTTCCCCGGTGAAGCTGCTGCTGCTGCTGCTGCTACTAAACCTAAGCAGCTCCCCACAAAGAGCAAATCGGGCCCGGACTATGCTGAACAAGAGTTGTTCGACTCTATGAGCTATGTGGAAGAGAAACCATCACTGAATCATCAAGGGAGCGGCGATTCCTTTGATTTCTGTGACTTTGGATGGGCCCAGCAGGGCGGCCCAAAGGCTGTGTTTCAAGCTGGGCCTGGATCCAATGACTCTGCTGGTCAGGTTGCTGCCCAGGAGGAGAACAACATTGGGAAGTCGTTTAAGTGTGAGGGAGAGGAGGTGTTTGGGTTTGATGGTGATAAGTATCTGCAGATGCCGTATATGGAAGGAGGCTGGGAGGCTTCCCTCGAGAATCTGCTCAATGGAGATACAACAACGACGTCGACGCAGGATGGTGGGAAGACAATGGATCTGTGGAGCTTTGATGAGCTCTTCGACTTGGCTGGAGGAGTTCATTGAGTGATCACCACATTCTGCTCTGCTGGGCTGTTGTAAATAAAGGCGCTACAATTTTCATTTGTTTTGTTTATTTTCAGTGGAGCTTTGGAATGGGTAAGGGAAAGAAGTCAGGTTGGATGTGTATACAAGGCAAATTGTAAGAGGAGGAGTACTCCGTCCATTTGGTTTCGTATATATGGTGGCCAGCAGCTTTTGTGTAAGAGTGGTGGTGTATCGATAACTAGTACTGGTGCTGTTTTCTAGAAAAGAGGAGACACTTTTAAGATGTTGAATAATTTGACTGTTGTGCGTATGTCATAAGGTTGCAACTTGCAAATGGGCCAAACTGTGAAGTTGGAGCTCGGCTCGTTTATTGAAATATTAGCTCTAGTTTGATTCGAGTTGAATTCTAGGTATATTCGTTAATGAGCTTACGAGCTCCCGAGATCACGACTTATGATCAATCAGCAAGTGAGCTGCGATTCAAGCTCAAACATTATATTATTTATTTTATAAGCCGGTAGTCAAGCTGCAGGCTCAACAACGACACACGTGAGCTAGCTGATCATGACCCCAAAACGAGCTAGCCTACGAGCTCAAACGAGACAGTTCACAAGTTGAGTTTAACAAGCCACCGTGTCGAATTAGCTCAGAAACCACGCCGTGCGAACGGTACACAACATAACATAACTCAAACTCGGCTCGTTTAGTTTCGAACCGGCTTTATCCGAGCCAAAGGTAACTGAGGGAGACCACCGTAATGTGATGATCTTCACTAAAACCCAGTACCAGCCCAAATTGATATTACTGTTTACTAGATCTTTCGAGAGACTCTGCTCATTGGGCCAGATTAGTGAACATGGCGGGGATGTCCAAATGCCGATCGTAATCAGAGAGCCCAGCACAGGCACAAGCATCTTCTCCTTTCATTGGTCTATTAATCCCTGGAACAAGTGTCTCACTTCCCATCCTTTTTCTGCTTTGTCATCACTCCCTCCAACTTCGATGCTGCGAATTAAGTCCAAAACTTGAATCAAATTAAAACTGATAGCGTTCTTTCCATAACGATCGACGATTTCGAGGAGCACCGACATGGGAAGATCAGCCAGCGACAGAGTCCGGATATGAAGAAAAAGAAGACAGCACCCAGAAAGAAACATACGACAAGAAGAAGATGTTTGTTCGATTGGTTTCCTCATTTAGCTATATATATATATATATATATAGTTACACAGGTAATTAACTATATCCACACATAACACAAAGTTCTGATCGATGGGATTTGTGGCGGCAGGTGCGTTAGCGTTACTGGGCGTGTTCGTAATTATCAGCACAGTTGCAGTGAGCCCGGCGGAGGACGTGATCCTGTGCAACACGGCAGAGTTCACGGAGACGACGGCTTATCTGGCAGACGCCGTCAAGGACGCGTTGAGGGTGTTGCAGGATACGGACGGCGATTTCCTGAGGAACATCGACGAGAATGTTTACTCCCCGACGAGAGCAGAACCGGTTGCCTTTGGGAAGCGGGTATGTGAGAAAAAGAACGAGCTTTCGGGCGTTGCGGATTGCGAGAAATGCTTCCGTGAAGCTTACAGCTCCCTGGTGAATTGTTGGACCAACAACAGTGTCGGCGGCCAGGTGACGCACAAGTTTTGTAGCATGAGGTACGAGATCTACAATTTCTTGTCACCTTGAAATTACCAGTAGCCATTGAAGTCATCGTTGTACTGATGGGCTATAAGATGATTTGAAAATCCTACTACTGTGAGCTATAAGATGAGTAAAAATCGTTTGTATGTAATTTAGTTAACGTGATGTATGGATCCAAATGACAAATTACGATTTGGTACATATACTTTTTTATATTTTACATTTTGGTACCCAAAATTTAATTTTTTATACGAAAAATATCATTGGAAAATTACATTTTGGTACCTAAAAATTTTCATTATGATATTTTAGTACCTAAAATTTTCACATTTTACATATTGGTCCTTGGTTGAGAATGTCATTTGGATTCATGGATAATCCACCAATCCACTTGATCGAATCCATGAATCCACCAATCCATTGGATCCATGAATCCACCAATTCATAAATCAATCCATTTGCCACCTCTAATTGACATAAAAGTTCCGTTATGTCCTTGAAGGATGATCATAGGTCCAGCAGCGATTCACAGTTACATATAAAATTCATGCAATGACGCTGTTGTTGTATGGACACACAATCCGACGACATAAAGACATCCTTAACTTGGCTACTCCGTTAGTTTTGGCACTTGTCCGTTTCTTCTAACCTGGGATTGTACATGTAGCAATGAAGGTTAGACAATCAAATTTCGCCCTGTCTCACAAAAAAAAAAAACAAGTTTATGATCGGTAACATCGTTGATTCCTCTGAAACAGAATCACCAGCCCAAAAATGTGATAATAGAAGAAACTTTAGAAAGTGCCTGCCTAAATGTTAAAAGAGGTTTTTTTGCTGCTTCTACGAGGAACTGTCATAAACCGCTGCAGTGTAAAATTGTGCTGTCATAAACTCTAGAGAGGAAGAACTACGAAGGGAAGTTCATGTGTATATTTCACTATTATAAGGGTTCAATAGGAAATTTTCCACATTCCTGTCCTATATCCCACTGACATTAGTGCAAGCTCCCACAGCATGTTGGGAATGCTTAAAAGGTTGACCTTGGAACCTGGTATTTCCGACCAGTTGACTGAAATCTCCTGCACCGGGATGCCAAATTGTTTGCACAGAAATACCAACTCGACGTCGAAGCACCATCTGCAGAGTCCCAAGACAGAGAGTGTCATCAGTCACCAGCCACCAAAGCAGTAGAGGAAAGTCCAGTTTGCAACACTTCAGGAGCTGACATCAGATTATTTTACCTTTTGAGCCTAATATTTGTGAAAAGCTTCCTTGCAGCAGCCCTTGTAAACATCTTAAAGCCACACTGCATGCAGTCAGTCTTTGTCAGGGCAATAGCAGATATAATGGAGATGAATCGAGCATTGTACAGCATATCCTAAACTTACCTGCGTATCGCGAATACCAGGACCAGCAGCCAAGAGAACGACAATATGGAATCCTTTCATCAGAAAATTACGGTACCATTTCCTCTGAAAGATTAAAAGAACAATTTTTATCAAAGAAGACAACAATGGAACATTCATGACAAGCAAAACCGAGATACACACTCAAACGAGCAAGAAGAGGATCATTGGACTGAACTGTTGCCAAAGCCTTCTCTTCAAGATGAGCACGGGAACCAAATGCTGCTACTGGGATGTCAGCTATCCTAAAACCTGACGTTCCATCCTTAGTATCTTCAGCACTTGCAACTGCACGGATCTGATAATATAGAAAATGTTGGAATCAAAAGTGAATTTACAAACTTCTATATATGTTTCAGGTGACTTCTGGGACAGCAAAAAGTTAGAAAAAGCACAGCCACAACAGATTAGGGACCTTATTTTCAAGCTTCTCCAGATCATTAACCTTTGTTGCTCCATCTGCATCCAGCATTAGAAGTATTTCACCACGTGCATGAAGCATGCCCTGGTTTAAAAGGGATATACAAGTGTGAGAAACTGAAATTCATTTTCTAGTTACATACTGAATCAGCAAGGGGAGATTAGACTCACTTTTCTAATTGCTTCTCCTTTACCATGATTACGCCCAAGAAGGATAACCCTGACATTATCCACCGAGTATTTCCTTACAAAGTCAAATGCCACCTTTTTTGTTGCATCAGCACTTCCATCGTCAACGATAATCACCTGCTCACGTTCATATATGTGTATCATTGAAGAAATCGGGAGGCATATCATACATTGTCAATAGCTAAATGTGCATTAAGATTAAGAGAAACCGCTCTAGGTTCCAGATCCAAAATACAAATCTTGGATACTGTCAAACCATGGAAACTAGAGAAGCATACCTCGTAAGTAAAAGACTTGTCCTTTGCAGCACGGTTTTGGAGATAGCTACAGCGTAAAGACAAAACATCATCTTTCATGTAATAACAAAGAACAATGAGTAGAACAATGAGTCAACATGAGCTTTCCATATAAAGTTCAACCCTATCATAGCAGATTAGAGCAGGGGGGAAAGTATCTTTGACGTACTTAATTGTTTCATCAAGAGCTGCAGGAAGTCTGTGCTCTTCATTGAATGCGGGAATGATCAAAGATATGTACTTTTCAGCGGGATCTACTAGATATGGACATGGAACCTGAAAGTGAAAAGGGTTTTACACATAAGAGACTGGGCCTTCCTCATCAACATTAAGTTGTTTAAGAGCCTACATCTAACAGTCGGAAAAATCACTGAACCACTCTAATAGCTTATCCTAAAGAGGCCAGCTGAACTCTCTAATATTCAAGCCTACTGTCATGAAGACTCACAAAGTAGATCAGTTTCATCTCCACAGAAATGGCAGTCTTAAGATCACGTCGTAACAATATTCACAGAGGGAAAAGAAAAACATAACTAGGAAGTATATATCTTGCGGACACCTTGAAATAATTTTCTGTAGACTACAACATGAAGCCTGAAATGATCGAGAAGGAATCAATAACGAGTTTCCGACAACCAAATATGTAAAGTGAATCTGCAAGCCCCAACCTTTCACCCATCCAAACCAAAAGTAAACAACACCCATACTCATTGCTAAAGCTCTGGGTACCTATACTTTTCCTTTCAAATAAAACATGCCCAATTCCTATCTTCATGTTTCAGGTAGATCCATAAACTTCGAACATATATCAGCAAATCCATATTTCCCGTCGATATTACGGAACACTAAGTCTTATCCTAACCCAAATGGTGAAATCGCAGACGAGATTATAAAACCACTACAGTGCAAAGACCAGCACAAAGACGCATATCTGTTCATGTACAAGTCTCCAGTAGATCTGACCAGCACAAAGATGCATATCTATCCATATTCTAGTCTCCAGTAATGCTATAATACAGCTTCACTATAGCCATAACTCAGATGCATAAGTCAAAAGCAGTCACGCGAGACATTCTCCAAACCAGGTACTAATTCAATGCATAGTTAAGAGATTTATCAGCTTAATGCCTCCCATGCCCTTTCTCTTGCTGTGCAAAGCATTTGGACTATTCTGCCTGACTATTCTCTAATTCGCTCAGACAAGCACCCTCCAACCAGTACTAATTCACTCTCCCCTCCTCGAGCTTCTTGCACATGGTCATGGAGATGATGCCAAACCCTCGAAGCTACATTCTCTCTTTCTTCCACAATTCTCGCCCATCCCACTTCTGACCTTCCTCGATTCACTTCAATCATTTTCCTTAAGCAAACACTTTCATTATTGCCTTGTAACTTCTCAAGCACCTCAACAATCATATCCAGCTGAAGTTCCCTCGTCAACCGTTCAATTTCTAACGCCAAAAACGGGGAAACGATCAAGGAAGTAAATGAAAACACCTTCCTACGCAACCAAGCAATATGCTGTCAAGACACAAGACTCCAACAAATTGGCAGCTGGAGTTAGATCAGCTGAAAGAACCAAGACTAACCTGTTTCAAGGATTTCGGATCCTCAAAAAAGGCAGGAGCATCAATGTGCCTAATAAAGAGAAACCCAATCAGCCCAATACCCATTTCTCCGGTACAAATGGACTGGAACCAAAATTAGGGATTGTGAAACTCACTTGTTGTTGTTTCTTCTTCGGTAGGCTTCGAGGAACATCGCGGAGAGGAACGACGAAGCCAGGACGAGAATCAGGGCGAAGAAGAGCTCCGCGATCGTCCACAGGAGCTCCATTTGTTGTCAACCCTGTTTCCGTTAAGCCGTTTACCTACACGATTATGCCATAGGCTGTAGCGGAAGCTTGAAGGCACCAAGACAAGATTTCTTTACTACGAATTAGTTGGAGACTGTTGAAAATTGAAAGCTCGGATCTCCGCCGGTTAGCCATAAAACACCGTTTAAATTAAACTAACATGGACAATTACAACATCCAGCCCGTCTAGCTCAGTTGGTAGAGCGCAAGGCTCTTAACCTTGTGGTCGTGGGTTCGAGCCCCACGGTGGGCGTTCTTTTTTTCTTTTTTCTTTTTCTAACCACTGTTTTTCGGCCTAAGCTGAGAGGCTTGTTTGGGATGAAAACGAAGAGGATGGTATCGTCACATTCCTTTATGGCCAAGGTTATCAACCAATGGGTTGACCGGATGAGGAAAACAAGCTCAAAACATATGTGGGTTTACTTGTAAACAGATTTTTAGATTGGAAGTAGTACGGTGTTTGTTTTTATTGTGTTTGTGAATTGTAATTCTTTTTCGGTTTTCCACTTCAACCAACCGTTATCATTGGAATTCTAAGTTGAACATTGAATACTGATATCATACAGTGTGTTTGAATTTTCATTATATGTTGGATCCAAGTACAAACTGTTATTTTGGTGTAATGTTATTAGTCATCTGTTATTTGAAATTTGATAGTCTATAAATGTATGAACAATATAATAACGTTTTCATATATCAAAGCTTAAATAAGATTAAAGCGATCGAATCATTAATCCTCAACCCACTTTTTCAATCAGACCATCATGCTAAATCGAGTTGCCAATGGGCGCCTTCGCAAAGCTATGATTCAACCCGCTATGTTATGTACGAGGAAGGATATTGTCTTTGTTGAAACTAAACCACCATTGTTCAACTATTTTGTACCATTAAAAATCATCTATCAATTTAAACTTTAATATGAAAAAATCTCCAACCAGATCACCAGTATGATACGATTTCACAATTACTACGTAAAAGAACGAAGTCTAAATTTGGTACTTTTATATACTATGGTGCAAAAGCTACATATATTGGTGGGCTATATGCTAGTGTGTATCATTGCTGGAAAAGAAAAGATGTGTGCCCCTCCTCAATCCTCATCCTCCTTTTGAACACAACCCCTGAGTTTTGCCTACCTGGTTTTTTTTTTTTTTTTTCCACTTTATCATCCACCTTTTTCGATTTCTCCCATTCCCTCGACCTATAAACATCTGTCTGCTACATCCATGGCGGATCATTGTACTTGCCAACAAGCTTACAAGCCTCATCAGTCACCACCAATATTGATGTACGTTATCATGTGCATTATTAATCGCACCAATGCCCCCCATCACCATAATTAATGATCCATGTGACATCAATGTCCTTCGTCTACCTCATTTCACTTCCTTGATTAAACATCACAGTCCTATCCGTTCGCATACTGACGTCATTAGATTGCACATCCTACAATTTCGATCAATAAGTAGACAAAAAAGTCTTTATTTACAAAACAATTCGATCCAACGAACTAATTAGGAGCCATCTCGCATCTTGGGGCAAAAGTCTTATTGCAATTGTGAAGTTATTGCAAACCAGGTCCAACCCAATATGTAGGGAGGTGTATTGACACACTCAGAGATATTGTGTTTTATCCCCTACTACAATTGGAGCTTTGCTTGAGTAGTACACATACTTAATTGGTTTGATTTTGTTAAAGTTTTTAGCTTGTTTGGTTTAAGTGGTTAGTTTGGTTTGGTTTCAATCACTTCTAACAGATCAAACCAAATTAACCAATTAAGTATTTTGCCATATATCTAATATATTATAAACACATACTTAAAACTTTGCACAATCTGTCAGGAGTAAAATGTAAGATCATTGTATTAGTTACATGTATTATGTAAAGGGTTTACTATGATCATGTAGTGATTCTTATGTTTTCTTCATTATATAAATTGCTAATCGATACAATAATCGGAAAATTTTCTCACTTAATAATAATATGATGTTATATTAGTTATTTTGGAACGGTTTTTTCAATTTTTTTTTTTTTAAGAAATAAAACTCCGAACACCCGCACATGCCAAGAATTCTCAAGTCTCAAGACAGTTTAACAGTTTGCGGCAGAAGTGAGGTAGAGTACCCAGAAATTCGAGATAATTAATAACTAAAAAATTGTAACTGCTCTACTAGTGACAAAGCTAAGGTAACAGCTAGCGTGTGTTTACTGTTCACCGTTATATATTCCATTTGTTTTCCCTGTGACTGCATGTGATTTTCTGCACACTGTAGAACCGCAAATTGCAATGCAATAGCTGCAAGCCTCGACATTTGGTTCAGGAGGTCACTGTACGAAGCATCAATCTCAACACTAAATATTACAACAAAAACAGAGCTCCCAAGTCCTGCCCCTGCCCTGCCTCCACTCCAATTTCCAAGCCATGCCAATAATACAGTTCATCACAGTAATACTTCACAAAATTTCAGATAATAATAGTAGTAGTAATAATAATACTCCATTTTATTCACAATAATAACAGAAACAAAAACCAGAACAAAATAAAGGAGTATTGCGGGAAACTAATTTTGAAGAACGAAAAGAAAAGGGGGGAAAAAACATACAACCATAATGATACCCTCCACCTACAAATCAACCAATCCACCCACCAATTAAAACCTCAGGAAGAAAAAGAAAAAAACTGGAAAAATCTATTGTAAAATAAAAGTAACATCACCGGGAAAATTTGCAATTAATGAGCCATGGCCGCGAGCGGCGGTACAGCGGCGAAATCAATGGATCGCTGGTTGGGCATGGCGAGCATAGCCGTATGGTCCAAGAAATCGTTGAGCGACGCCACCGACTGGAGAACCAGTCTCAGATCTTCCCCGAACCCGCCGAACCCGGCGCTCCCTTCCCTCCTGACCGCGTACACGTAAAAAGTGATGCACCCTTTCCGGAACTTGAACCGGGCCAGCTCGCACCCGGTCAGACCGCGGACCAGCCTCCGGTTCACCTCCCCGAGCGGGATCTCGGCCGGCCAGCCCCGGTCCGCGGCGGCGCACTTCAGCTGCTCCGACTCGAATACGAACACCACCACCTTCGACTTCCTGGTCCCCAGGCCGAGCGTGAGGGTGTGCCACGCGTGGTGGGCCAGGATCGTGAAGTTGGTCGGGAGGAACGCGGCGGTGGTCGGGAGCGGCGGAGTGGTGGTCTTCTTTTTGTCGGCGGCGGTGGTGGTGGTGGGAGGGTAGGAGAGGAGCTTGAGGAGCTCTAGAGGGCGGGCGCGGCGGATTGTGAAGGATTTGACGATGAATTGGCCGCCGAATCGGAGCCCTTTTACTTCGGAGCTGGGCTTGAAGGAGTAATCGGGGGCGGCGGAGGGTGGGGATTTCACCGATTTGGATGGGTGCTGGTGTTTGGGCTTCTTGTGCTGCTTTTGTTTTTGCTTCTCCTTCTCCGCCATGGCGGTGGTCGGATTTTTGCTGTGTGAGTTTTTTTTTTTTTTTTGTGGGTTTGGTGGTGGTGGGTAATGGCGATGGTTGGGGGGTTTCAGTGGATAAATGATAATCCAACCAATCTGTGGCTTTTTGGTAGTGTGCTGATTTTCTATATGCTTCCAATCCCTCCTATTATATCTTTTTTTTCTTTTCTTCTTCTTTTGGTTTCAGTGGAATTATTACAGTCAAAAGCTGGTATAGCTTCTTTATACCCATAACGCATGAAGAAACGACCATCATAATTCTTGATTAATAGATTATTCAATTTGGGAACGAAGAGTAAAATTGTTTATTTATTGTTATTTTTACGAACCCGAATTGAGGCTCAAACTAGGATGTGATAAATGCTACGATCTCTTGTTTATATTTTGAATTTCTTTATATTTCTTCATTTGCTTCACATGTACGTGTATTGTCTATCATTTTTGTTAATCGACTACGTCATATGTTCGGACTTCCTATATCCTTAGTATTACAGAAATCTCGAACTTTTAAGTTGCCTTTGTCATCGAGATGTTCTTAAATTTATTGTGTACTAGTTTGGGTTATATGATGGCGGCTTCTATCGTGTATATCGGGTAAATTTAAAGTATCGCATGTTAGTAGTAAGAAAATGTTATATGAAGCTTTAATTAACTGGATTATGGGCATGATAATTTACGCTAAACTCTTAATTATGAGTGAACGGTAAGTGCTAATTATTTAAACCTCACACCCTAAATCATAAAATAATGCATATGATATGTTGACGTATAATTGTCGGATATTTCTCATCAAATTGATCTTAGGGTTTATTATTTAAAGAAATAGAGCATATATATTTTACTTATTAAGACTTCGGTTATGGTATAATACCAAACCTACGATCATTTTAAGGTATGGATAATATTTTTCGTACTAAGTGAAGTGTAAGTGTATGGTACACCATATTTACCCACCCGGATATCATTTAATTGGCCTGGGTTTATATATGTTCTATTGTTATACCAAAACTCATAGTTATACGTCATTGAGTTACGTTGTTATTAGGAAGAAGTTAGGTATGCTTTGATGAAGTTTAGTAATCTACTAATCTTTGTTCGACTACAAAATAAAAATAAGGTCATCATCACTAGTTTCTATTCCATTTCTTGACATTATTACCTTAAAAACTGTAGAGGAATTCAGAAAGGAAGGGAAAAGAAAAAGGCTAAGAGTAGAGGACGATGATGGGATGGAAATAATTTTCTTTAGAAAAGGCCAATGCGATGGAAATAATTAGGTGGGGGGACTCGAGTACCTTCATAATTTGATTGAGAGATGTTAATCATGATGTTGCCTTGCGTCGCTTTAATCTTCTCTTTCTCTGTCGTTTCCAAACTTCTGAATCACTGAACCACAAAACAAAAAAAGTGTCTTTTCCATCTTTTAGTTTAGTGGTTACATCAAAATTGCTCGTCGAATAAAGTCTGTAAAGGAACATGTAACCTACCGACCGCTTGTGGTTTTTTGCTGGGGGTTAAGGGTAAGTAAGCGCCAATCGGCCGGATTGGGGGTGAAAACACATCCATTGTTCTGCCCCAGCAGAAAGCGATATATTTATAATTGTTTTTTAAAAGATAATACAGATAGATGGAGAGAAATTAGGGCTGAATTATATTATAATTGATAACAAAAAATGAGAATCAAACTATGGGCAAGCAATCAATGAAATGATATATATTTAGCCATTAAATGAGCAGTCATATTAAATCTACGAAGAGATGAAAGGAAATAAAGAAAATAGGAGCCAGACTATTTTCAAGATGACCCCTCCAAGAACATTGCCAAACCTCCGTTGATAACACTCATCGGACGATCATTTGAGCATCCCGATAAAATCTTATAAAGCGTTAGGTCTTACAACCCCTAAATCCAATTGATCTCTAAACTCTAGTTTCGATTGATGGGTATCAAGTGGTGAGTTAGGCGGATTGTGGGTTAGTTCAATCGGATTGCTAACCAGCTGATTTAGGAGTTTGTTAGATTTTGAACTTGACATATTATGGGTTGATGAGGAGTGGTATGATTTGTATAAAAGCTAGTAAGACACAAAATTTTGTAGGTTTTGAAGTTCTAAGTATCAGAACTGTTGACGAATATGGTTCTCTAGCCGTCAATCTTAATTACTTCAGAAATTGCACTTGCCTAAACTTCCCAAACAATACAGGAAATCAGCTTCGTACATGACATATGTATGTTTTTTTTCTTTTTTTACAAGACATCGATATGCATGCTATTGCAATGAGTTTGCGTCACTTTGAAAAGAATAGAGTGATCTTAACGGTTTAAGATCAAAGGCAGAAATTTTGGACATATTTTTAAATGTAGTTCAATAGAGTTATTAGGCAAGAGCTTGGATTATAACTCATCGTATCACATGGTCACGTTCCATCTATCAAATAAATAAATCAATTCTAACAAGCTGGCTCTAGAGAAAGGACTCCTAGTTTGTTAAATCATACTTCATACATTGTAAAACACAGACGGTCTCAATTACAACAGAATTTGTGATGACAACCAGGGAAAATGCCCAGCCAGACCCAAAATTAACTCGACAACTTAAACCTCATAATTGCAAAGACTGATTAAATTGAAATCTCCTCTCGAGACGATCTCGAATCCTACCGTTAATATTGTCACATCTCACATGTATTTACACGAGCCGTGACCTGCATACAAAAGACAACACAGACATTAGCCTAACCCAATTAATTGCTCAAACCAAATTAACCAGCCGTGAAACAATTATCTATTAAGTATTAACAAATAAACCGAGGGAAGAAAAAAAAATGAAACACTTACTTGGGTCCGAGTTAGCTACGACTCCGGTGCCGGCGAAATCACAGTTGAAAGGACGAGCTCCGTTGAGGCGGTAAAACGAGTTCATCACGAAGGACGCATGGGACCTGACGTTATTGGGCCCGAAGCACGGGCCTCCGGCTTGAATGGGCCTGCAGTCCATTCCCTTCTGGCTGCAAACGTAGTTTATGTTCGCTTGCAAAGCCTGGTCGCTCGCCGACGCCTTCGGAACGCACCACGATTTCTTCCCCGCAACCGGCGCTGGCCGCGGCGCCGGCCTCGACTGCTTGTTCTTCAGGATTCCGACGTCGTAGACCGCGCTGAAATCTGGGCGGAATAGCCCCCAGTTCCTCTCGTTCGACTGCCCCGGCTTCAGGTTCTCGTTGAACAGGGAGAAGATGTAGGTCTCGAACTTCCTGTTGGGCATCAATGGCGTCCCTTTCCCTGCGAGGAAAAGAAAATTGAATGTTAATTTCGTAAGCAACTAATTAGTAATTAGGGATACTACTATATTTTTATCTCTTACTTGAAATTTGGGCACAACATTAAAGTTGATGGTCAAACATTTCTTTCGTCTATTACTCAATAGACAAATACAATGCTGAGGTGGTTGCGACGTGACTTCCACGTCATACAGATAATATGGTATTTTAATTTGAACTTTCAGCGTGAAAATCGATTTTGAAATCAACTTTGAAATACGATAGTCTTGTTGAAATTTTTAAAGAAATGAAAAAAAAAAAAAATCGTTGAATAGAAATGAACAAATTTGACCATAAATATTGGTTGACCATTAATACTAACATCTCAGTTATCTTAGTTACAACCTATATTTTTGTCAATAAGAAAAATTCACATCAATAATGTACTAAAGTCCAGACTAACTTACGAAAACAAAAATTAATTTCATGTAGGGATCTTACCTGAGGTAACGGCTTTGAGCAAGTTGCCGTTGAAGGAGATGGCGTTGTCAACGGTGCAAGCGGGCTGGTTGGGGTCGCCGGCGGAGGGCCAGCCGGTCTCGGCCACGACGATGTCGACGTCGGCGTAACCCATGGCCTTGATGGCGGAGTAGACGGCGTCCATCATGGCGTCGAACATGTTGTAGTAAGTGATGTTGGTGTGTGAGTCGTGGACGCCGCGGTTGGGGCGGAAGAGGGCGTAGTCGGCGATGCTGGGGGCGTAGCTGAAGTAAGGGTACGGGTTGACCATGAGCGGCGACTTGGTCTGGCGGAGGAACTTGAGCATGGGCTCGAATATCACCTTGTCGTAGCCCTTCCGGATCCGGGCCTGGCTCGGCTGCACCGAGTTCGATATTATCCCCAGCGTGTGCGGCGTCGACACCTGCGTTTCATCCATATAGTTGCATCGTTTTAGTAGACAAAAACATACTTTAATTTTCGTAGTTTGAATAAATGTTGTCTTTTTAACATTTACAACAAATCATGTATATAGTCTTTCAATCGCCTAATCTAAAGAAATCTTCGATTTCAAATACACGGATTTTGAAGGCACATTCTGTTTTACGGTAACTTGAGCGATTCAATGTTTGTGGGAAGAAAACGCGTGTAATAATGGTTCTAGTTCAAGATCAACGGGGACAAAGACAGACATCATTAAAGACACTATAGTATACAGAATAATTAACCAGCTTTTCTTAAGGCCCAAAAAGATATGGGCCCACGTGGGGCCTGTTTAAATTAAATACCTGAATGTTGCGGATTCCGGCCTGGACAAGAGCGTTGTGTAGGGCCCACATACAAGGGACGAGCTTGGAGATCCAGAGCCTGTTCCCGGTGGCCAAGATCTCGTTCCCCACCGAGATCCGGTTAATCTTGGTCTCCTGATAATACGGCTGCACGTTGGCGGCCACCCACTGGGCGGCGGCCCTGGCGTCCGCGAGAGCAGGGATGTCGCCGTTGCCGACGGTTATCGTGACCGTGACGTTGGTGTTGGCGAAGGCGTGTATGATGTCGGGAATGACATCGAATATCTTGACGCTGTCGATGATGGTCTGCGTCGTTATGAACTGCGCCACCTGGGACGGCCGCGGGAGGTTGTTGGCTATTGTTCCGTAGTTGACCCCGATGGCGGAGGCGCCGGTGGAGAGGTAGATGGCCACGGCGGAAACGAGGAGGAGGTAGAGCGGAGCCGTCGTCATCGTGACGGCTGCCGGCGGCGTGGGAATGTGAGGAGTTTGGTTCAAGGAGAGAAGAGATTGGGGGTTTCGTATAACGGCAACGAACAGCTGTATTAAATAGTTTGGCGAAAACGAGGGTTGGTCTAATATTTATAGGAGTTGGTCTAATATTTATAGTTTATGTTCGCTTGCAAAGCCTGGTCGCTCGCCGACGCCTTCGGAACGCACCACGATTTCTTCCCCGCAACCGGCGCTGGCCGCGGCGCCGGCCTCGACTGCTTGTTCTTCAGGATTCCGACGTCGTAGACCGCGCTGAAATCTGGGCGGAATAGCCCCCAGTTCCTCTCGTTCGACTGCCCCGGCTTCAGGTTCTCGTTGAACAGGGAGAAGATGTAGGTCTCGAACTTCCTGTTGGGCATCAATGGCGTCCCTTTCCCTGCGAGGAAAAGAAAATTGAATGTTAATTTCGTAAGCAACTAATTAGTAATTAGGGATACTACTATATTTTTATCTCTTACTTGAAATTTGGGCACAACATTAAAGTTGATGGTCAAACATTTCTTTCGTCTATTACTCAATAGACAAATACAATGCTGAGGTGGTTGCGACGTGACTTCCACGTCATACAGATAATATGGTATTTTAATTTGAACTTTCAGCGTGAAAATCGATTTTGAAATCAACTTTGAAATACGATAGTCTTGTTGAAATTTTTAAAGAAATGAAAAAAAAAAAAATCGTTGAATAGAAATGAACAAATTTGACCATAAATATTGGTTGACCATTAATACTAACATCTCAGTTATCTTAGTTACAACCTATATTTTTGTCAATAAGAAAAATTCACATCAATAATGTACTAAAGTCCAGACTAACTTACGAAAACAAAAATTAATTTCATGTAGGGATCTTACCTGAGGTAACGGCTTTGAGCAAGTTGCCGTTGAAGGAGATGGCGTTGTCAACGGTGCAAGCGGGCTGGTTGGGGTCGCCGGCGGAGGGCCAGCCGGTCTCGGCCACGACGATGTCGACGTCGGCGTAACCCATGGCCTTGATGGCGGAGTAGACGGCGTCCATCATGGCGTCGAACATGTTGTAGTAAGTGATGTTGGTGTGTGAGTCGTGGACGCCGCGGTTGGGGCGGAAGAGGGCGTAGTCGGCGATGCTGGGGGCGTAGCTGAAGTAAGGGTACGGGTTGACCATGAGCGGCGACTTGGTCTGGCGGAGGAACTTGAGCATGGGCTCGAATATCACCTTGTCGTAGCCCTTCCGGATCCGGGCCTGGCTCGGCTGCACCGAGTTCGATATTATCCCCAGCGTGTGCGGCGTCGACACCTGCGTTTCATCCATATAGTTGCATCGTTTTAGTAGACAAAAACATACTTTAATTTTCGTAGTTTGAATAAATGTTGTCTTTTTAACATTTACAACAAATCATGTATATAGTCTTTCAATCGCCTAATCTAAAGAAATCTTCGATTTCAAATACACGGATTTTGAAGGCACATTCTGTTTTACGGTAACTTGAGCGATTCAATGTTTGTGGGAAGAAAACGCGTGTAATAATGGTTCTAGTTCAAGATCAACGGGGACAAAGACAGACATCATTAAAGACACTATAGTATACAGAATAATTAACCAGCTTTTCTTAAGGCCCAAAAAGATATGGGCCCACGTGGGGCCTGTTTAAATTAAATACCTGAATGTTGCGGATTCCGGCCTGGACAAGAGCGTTGTGTAGGGCCCACATACAAGGGACGAGCTTGGAGATCCAGAGCCTGTTCCCGGTGGCCAAGATCTCGTTCCCCACCGAGATCCGGTTAATCTTGGTCTCCTGATAATACGGCTGCACGTTGGCGGCCACCCACTGGGCGGCGGCCCTGGCGTCCGCGAGAGCAGGGATGTCGCCGTTGCCGACGGTTATCGTGACCGTGACGTTGGTGTTGGCGAAGGCGTGTATGATGTCGGGAATGACATCGAATATCTTGACGCTGTCGATGATGGTCTGCGTCGTTATGAACTGCGCCACCTGGGACGGCCGCGGGAGGTTGTTGGCTATTGTTCCGTAGTTGACCCCGATGGCGGAGGCGCCGGTGGAGAGGTAGATGGCCACGGCGGAAACGAGGAGGAGGTAGAGCGGAGCCGTCGTCATCGTGACGGCTGCCGGCGGCGTGGGAATGTGAGGAGTTTGGTTCAAGGAGAGAAGAGATTGGGGGTTTCGTATAACGGCAACGAACAGCTGTATTAAATAGTTTGGCGAAAACGAGGGTTGGTCTAATATTTATAGGAGTTGGGGAACTATTAAATTAAATGAAATATTAATCTTCTGGCCAGTGGGACAAAACAGGAGTCGCTGTTACGAACGCGGCTATTCCACGGATATGGTGAATTCGACTTTTTAACTAAACCGTGTGAAAACTGGATCGAGCTTGGATTCATTTCTTTCTTTCTCTACCATTAGGCCAATTTGCTAACGTGCTTACAGGGTTTGACGTAAATACGTGTTTAAATTGAATGCGTAATAGTGCATTTGGTGATAGGTTAATTAAATTGTTACGTACGAATTTAATATTAATGGATTGCGATACAAACGATTCAACGATATAAGCATGTACTTAATTAAGACGCTCCTCGGAATGCAGAGGGGCTTGTTTGTACCATACTTGGAGCATATTTGTAGTAAGTTTTCATTTCCACGTGGTAAAAAAAATCTGCTTAGAAGAAGAGGTTAATCTAGAACTATATGGGTGTAAATATGGTCTAACAAGATGTGAGGCAGAAATCAGAATGAGAAAACGTGTGATTTGGGATTAGATAGACCAAAGTAGCACACGGAAAGTCAGGGGAGAGTGGGGACAAGGCAACGGAAGTGGAGGACAACGTGGGCTAATCAATGTGCTGTGTAATTTACTAATTTTGAACACCCCGAAGAAGGAGGAGAAGAAGAACATGGGGAGGGCGGACTAACATAACATGGCCGCGTTGCTGCCTCCTTTTTCCTTTATCGTCCTTCTTCCTTTTCCTTTTTTGCTCGAATTAAAATTGGCACTGAGTTGGGCTTTGGACGTAACGCGTCTCTCTCCGTTTAAAAGCAAGGCCCAAACTGTTCAGCCCGGCCCATTGTTTACACCAATGTTCAAGCAGAGAACAAATTAAATGTGTAATTAAGCCATGTTAAGCAAAACTTTTGCTTTTGTTAGTCTTAAATTCTTAATTGATGTTGCTTCTAAATTTTCACTATGCATATGCCAAATGACATTTCAATTTCTGAAAAAATCATGCAAGTACATCCAAGGAAAATAAAGCCGATGCCCAGTTACAGTTGGTATTACTGGATCAATGGGGAATTTTCAATAACAAGCGTACTTTTGTATTTCACTTTAGTGATATTTTCCTTACATAATCAATTAAATTCGCTGATAAAACGAGATACTGTTGTATGACATAGGAAGGAAGAGTTACGTTCCACATGATTAATTATTCGATTTTGCGGCCCTCGTTTAAAATCGGTAATTTGTAATCATAGGAGCTGTGGAGATTTCTTCACTGCTCATCTTTAGTGTGGCCGGTATGCCCCGTGTGGCCGGTATGTCCAGTGTGCCCTGTATGTCCGGTGTGTCCAGTGTGACCTGTATGTCCGGTGTGACCGGTATGTCCAGTGTGACCTGTATGTCCAGTATGGCCTGTGTGTCCGGTGTGGCCGGTATGCCCTGTGTGACCTGTATGAGCATCAACCATAACAAAAGTTGTTGTGGAAAGAAGAAGGAAAAGTGCAAGAAAAATAATGCACTTGCGACGATATGTTTTGTTCTCCATGATTAATTTTTTGTTTAGAAATTAACACAACACTTTTTAGTGTTTCCTTATGCGATATAAATAGGTGTTTATTTTAATCATAGGGTGATTTCCTTTCCATATACGACATCTGAGAATAAGTTCCTTGGTAGGAGTTTAGACAAGTGTGAAAATCTTGTCAAATGATGAGCCCCTTCTTTTAGAAACCACAGGCTTATTATTGCACGAGGGTATAACTTTTCGGTCCTTTATCCCGGTCAAATCGCGGGGAGGAAAATTGGTAGGGCATTTCGCAACTCTTGAAACCAATAGAATAGGCTTGCCTAAGTTTGGAATTGTTTGACAAATAAGGCGGGGATATGATCGCCGATCGGTGGTACTAATGCTTACTTTTAAGACATTAAACATATCAAATTCATGTAAATAATTATCCTTTGTTTAGTAATTAACTTTTTCGCCCTGTCCTATGTTTTTTACTGGAGCGATTATGAGTTTTAATTGATAGAGTTATTGGTTTCAGTTTTAACCACGTGAATAAATAATAATATCTTATTTTCATTGAAGTACCTCAAAGATGTTTAGATTAGTATTATTTTACAGTCTACAATTCGTCTCAATATATTAATTAATCTGAATTTCTATTTAGCGCCCTAAATTTTTAAATAAATCGTCCTAAATTTTACTAACGGACGATTTTGTCCCAATTAAAAAAAACATCAACCCAATCACGTTGGCGAGCTTAATCGCCTACACCCTAAACCGACGAGCCGCCGCCTCCTTCTACTACTGCTCGCCTCACCGGATGTCGCCGCCGCCGTCTCTCTATGCTCTAGCTCTCCTCCTCGAAGATTGGTGTCGCCGCCCTCTGTTTCTTCATCTGGCCAGCCAGACGACCACAACCACTCTGCTTCGCTCACTGCTTCTTCCTCTGGCTAGCCAGCCTACCGACGACGACGAGTAGGTAATGGGGCGGGTCGAAAACACATCGCCGGCGGCTAGAAATATGGATCTGTGTGCAGCTCGACGGAGACGGGATTTCAACCTACCTCGTTGCCGAATCGAGAGGGTGGGGATGACGTCCACAGCGGCGGCGGGGAGCATCGGCGGCAACATGTATAAGGGTTTGGGTTTGGCGGTGGGATTTTTTATTTGGTAATTTAGGTTAGAGATTGGGCTAAGGGTAAAGGTGTCCGTTTTTTCAAATTAGGGCAAAATTTTTAAATATTTAGGACGAGAAATAGTAACTCCCTTAATTAATAAGATAAGATTTATATGTTCCTTCTTCGCAGAGCCACTTTGAAGGGAGTTCTACACTATTATCTTTTTACCTTATTTGATGTTTTTAATTGTGTTTATTTTTTATGGTTTCATCCAATATCTCAAAATTGTATATGGAAATTTCTTCTTCATTTTTTTTTTTGTTAAAGGCGACATTCATTATTATTAAAACCAAAACTTATACAAAGAAATTTCTTCTTTGTATAAGTTATGAAAATTTCTTCTTAATCCATAATAGCTTGAGTGAGCATTTGCACAACAACAAATAAGGAGGCAAACTCAATTCATCCATAAATTCCCACGACTCATTTCGATATCATTGCAATAACAAGCAAGGTTAAAGAAGATTATGAACCATGAAAAATGAAAGACATTTGTGGATCGCATGTTGATAATCATGTATATGGAATTGATCTAGAAAAGTGCATTATGTGTGACTTGTTATTGGGATGAGACTCTTTGGATGCCATTTGTACTCGATCACTTTCTAAGTTTGTACGATTCCCTAATTTTATTAGGTGACGTTTTTAGTGCAGGATCAAAATAAAATACTTTTAAAATCAGAAATTCTTTTACGGAAATAATACTTCAAACACATCCTTGAGGGAGAACGACGACTTCCAGTTATGTGTGAGTTTTATGTCATTGTTAATAGAAATAACAAACATCAAGGTAATCCAGTGAATAAGAGTTCGGTCTAGTGGTACTATTAGTATTAGTGGTTTTGAACCTGAAATCTCAAATTTAAATTATTTAAATAGTATTTAATTATACAGACAAACCGATATCATTCTTATCTAAAAAAGATCAAAGTAATCAAAACGAATGATTTTTTTACAACAAATTCAATCATGTGTTATACATGATATATCAATCAAAATCAGTATCAATTGAATCACAATTCAAATCACAAATTCATTCTAGTGCTTCTACCATGGTATCAGCCATCAGGTCCAGTGCGGTTGCTATTGGGCATTTATCTCTTTCGTGGCAGATATGGAAGGTGTCAACCAAATCACGAACGGAGAACTGGTGCATCTTTCCGATCAAACAGGAGCTGGTGAATTTTGGTAACAAGAATCTAAAAACGTTCCATACAATTACTTGCTCTCGGGAAAAAAAGAACAATTGCTGCTGTTAAACAACCTTGATTTTATAGAGAGTAAAGACGATGTTTTCTTCATGCTGAAAAATTAGTCAATCGATTTTATTTCGCAATTTAATGTCTTGAAAAATATTGTTCGTTATCATCTAATTAATCAAGCAACTAAGTTTAAAGTAAATCGAGATCTAAAAATTCACTTTTCAAATATGGAATACGAATCATCTTATCTCAAAGACCGGCCTTCGCATAACTTTTTCCCCATAAAAACGATATATCATAGTAAGTTAGTAACAACCATTTTTGCACTAGCTATTCCACTTTCCCCAAATCAGTCAGAGCTCCTAAGCAGCTTCTTCATCAGTTTTGCTTCACGTTTCCATATCCTCATCCATCTTTCCTCACGGGACTTCACAATTGGCGCATGACCTGAAAGAACCCAGGACCAGAAGAAGAAAGAATTACGCTAATTTTCTTTTCCTAAGTATCAATACCAGGAGATAATTATATCAGTTCATAAATTGGGGTAGTTAGAAGGAAGAAACAAAAAGTAGGATGGGAGAATGAGAAAATTTACTTGGATCGACAGTGGTGACGCCGCCGGACAAATTACAGGTAGATTCCAGCCCACCATTCTCCCGATAGTTAGAGGTAGCGTGGGCCATTGGGCCCAAAGCACGAGCCCCCCTAAATAGATGGGCTTGCAATTTGCTCCATTACCGCATGCATGGTCTAAATTTGACTGCAATGTCGAAGCTGCTGCTCCGGCCTTGGCCACACACCAATTTATGGGTCAAATCCTAAAATCCCTAATATGACTACCATTACTGACACGAAATCAATGACAAATTGTGAATACGGGTAAAGTCCAGCGGCATTCGACGTAGAGGTTTCAGATTCGCTTCCCGTGCTAGAATTCCCTTTCCCCTGTTCATCGGTAGAATCTCCCTTCGCCTGTTCATCGGTAGAATCCCCCTTCGCCTGTTCATCGCCGGAATTCCCGTTCGCCTGTTGATCCTCTTTCGGTGATGAGCTCTAAAAAAAATCCCATAACAAATTACATTAA